TTTAAATACCGCTCGAGTGAGCCAGATTGATGGACGCGGGGATTACAGAGCGCCGATCTCCCAACACCCTCACCGCCTCCTCCAACCCAACACGCAAAAGCTGAAGCAGCCGGACCCGACCAAAGACAGCGGAGAGACGAGAAAGACCGGGGTGCGACGCTTGCATCCGCGCTGCAGGTACAGAAGGAGAGCTTACCTTGGCGTCGAGGGTTCTCTTCAGCTCCAGCATGTAGGAGTACTGCTCCGGGTAGATATAGTCATAGGGGAAGTAGACCAGCAAGCCATCAATATTCAGCCTGCAAAAACAAGAAGATGAAAACTTAGCGCCCCGACTCTCAAGTTACCCGACCCTTCAGCTGCGGCGAGAGACTCCAGAAGTACACACTTCATTGTTACGGCTAGCGTCCGGCGACGGGCGATTTTCTTCTTGCTGTTGTAGGCTCGACAAGGCTATCGTAACACTAGAGATAAACAAAGGATAATACTAAAGAAATTAAAGGCACGTTGATAACTCCGCTCTTGCTTTTCTGTTTATTCACGTGTGATTCCACTGTCACTGCCCAACCTATCCCCCTCGATGGACGTGATCCCTCCTAGCGCGCCCACGATTGGTCACTTAGTCTTTGGAGGAGACGCAGTAGGAGTTGCTAAATGGGTGATCTCGATGTCAATCACACTTCTTCCCCGCCCCCTGGTTAGTGCGCCCCGAAATCTAGACCTGACTAATCAATACCAATATAAAAAGTTGTCTTGTTGCTAATATTAGACCTGAATAGTCGAGGCCAGAGAAGTCTAGCTTTCCCTGTTGGCACGGACTGAAAAATTTCCAGCCGTCTATAAAAATCCAGTTACTGAGCAAATCAACTTTGAAGTAAAACAAAAACAAGGAACATAGAAATAAACCATAGAAAACCATAATAACAAATGTATTGATGTTTGTAGATTTATAGTCAAACTTTATGAATTATCCGCCTATAGGTTTTAATTAGGAATATGACTTTTGTGTAAATGATTACTGCATTTTCTATTTGGAGAACGTGTGGGAACACCCTGCAAAGCTTACTAACACCCACATGTTTCTGAAACACGGCTTGCAGCTCTTCTTTAGAAAAAAAACAATTGCTTACACTTAAATAGCGCTTTTCTGGACACTCCACACAAATTGCTTTACAGGTAATGGGGATCCCCTCCACCACCACAAATGTGCAGCCCCACCTGGATGATGAGACAGCAGCCATAGTGCACCACTACTCTCCCCACACACCAGCTCTCAATGGGAGGAGAGCAGAGTGATGAAGCCAGTTCAGAGAGGGGGATTATTAGGAGGCCATGACTGGTCAAGGCCAGGGGGAAATTTGGCCAGGACACCGGGGTAACACCCCTACTCTTTTCAAGTAATGCCCTGGGATATTTAATGACCACAGAGGCAGGACCTCGGTTTTACATCTCATCCGAAGGACGGCGCCTGTTTACATAGTGTCCCCGTCACTATACTGGGACATTAAGACCCACATAGACCGCAGGGTTAGCGCCCCCTACTGGCCCCACTAACACCTCTTCCAGCAACAACCTTAGTTTTTCCCAGGAGGTCTCCCATCCAGGTACTGACCAGGCTCACACCTGCTGAGCTTCAGTGGGCCGCCAGCTGTGAGTTGCAGAGTGATATGAAAAGATTATTAAACCAGAGTCAAGCCACACTAAAACGTCTCTTTGGTTCATTTTTTTTTAGTTTAAGTCTGTTTCATTCCTAAAGCAATCAACCCTGTCTATTGTTTTAGTTTAAAGGGCCAGTTCTTCACAAAGACGGCAGAGTGGAGGGAGGGGCAGCCTGAACCACATTTCAGGCACCAGAGGAGTGTAGGAGCAGGCCTTGACCCTCGAGGTGGATCTGCTCAATAACAGGGCTGGAGGAGCTGTACAGAAGGTAAGGAGGCCAGGCACTCCCAGCCCCGGACTCAGACGGGCAGGACGCCGTGATGAAGCCTGTGCCGTCGGGTCTCTCCTGGACCCGCTGGACGGCGGGCTTCTGGGTGTCCATCTCCCAGTGCTGAGCCAGGAATAGCGAGAGGGCCTGGCTTGAATAAGGAGACAAAACAGGGGGCAAGTGCATGTACTGCACCCTGGGTTATTCACAAGGCCAAGCTGCACCAGATCCTGATGTGTTTGTGTGTGCTCTCTTTTGTGCTTGGTGTGGCGCTAGGTGCATAGGTGCTTAGGAGTCTTCTCCTGTTGATATCACATGGTTCACTAGTGTTTGGACAGTTGGTGCTTCTGAACCAGAGCTGCGGTATCTTCTCATAACGTGAGACATGGTTTGTGTCACAGCCAGTAACTGATCATCTCACTGATTCAAAAGATGAAGAGGGAACATAGGTAAAGAGATGTGGAAACCCAAAAAAAAAACAGCAAGAAAAACATACAAATTTGGAGTGACGTCTGCTTTAACATTCATATTTATTGACCTCAATACCGAGGCTAAATACATATAGAAACATTTTTTGTTTTAAAAAAGGTTGTCATTTTGTACTACAGAGACAGATGTCACACCACGCTGAGGAAGGGCAACTTCTGAAACTAGAGAAATGTTCGCTGCAACATGTCACTGACTGTAGTCGTCCCGCTTGCCTTGAGCTGAAGATTTCAGAATAAATAACTGCAACAGTCACTTGCATGGTGTTCCTCTTCATGTCAATCAGAACGTAACAAAAACTGCGAAATAATGTTCCATCCAGAACAGAAAATCATCGTTTCAAAAAAACATTTTTCCTTGATTGTCTCTTTCTTTTTTCCACGCATTTATTTGGACTTTCTCCTCTCCTTCATCTACCTTGCACAGTCCACAGCACAGCAGATACCTACTTCCCAGACGACAGTTTCATTTTAGTTCCCAGCAATCCATTGAAAGGCAACAGTATCCAGTCACATTCCTCCAAGCAGTTGTCTGGTCTGCATTCCGGCTGAACTCTTACACACCTCATCTTCGTCATCATCAGCATCTTCATCATGCTATTACCCACTGAGCTGAGCACATCAAACCTCTCCCCCAGTGCTTAGATCTGTGCAATTATTAGAATCCCCAGAACAGTGATGGAAAATGTATTAAATTCAAGCAGGGCCTGAAACACGTCTTAAAACATTCAGAAATCAAAACAGATTGTGAACATTAACGGAGATTTAAAAAAATGCAGAATTACAACAGAAATCATTTCTTTCCATCTGTCACCACATCCCAGTAGCATAACTCAGTCTCAACACACAGTCCTGCCAAGAAAAAAATGAAGAAAATGAACCGGCTTCGCTTTAAGGCATAGCTTTTAGGATTATTCGGTCGTTTCAGGTTTTTAAATGTGTCGATTTCGTGACCTTCAGAAAAGCAAGAGAGCTGCGCTTCTCCAGGCCGCTTCTGGTACCGACCAATTACCAGGTGTACTACCCTCTCCTTCCACTAGATGGCCGTACGAGCCAAGTGTAGTACTGCTCGGCAACCACAGTTGAACTGTTGAACTGGACCGGTGAACGGTTTGTTAAAACTATCGAAAGTCTTCCAATAAAATAAATATATATATTTATGCCAGCTTTTAGAATTTGTAAACAGTACTTCCCATCTTATCCTCTAAAGAGATAAATGCACTAAATGTCCTTATAAATTATTTTGAATAGTGATTTCAGTATATATGTCCATGCAAGATTTCTGAGTGCGTAGAATAATCACCATCTTCCTGTGTTGATTCATCGTCCAGTTATGGTCAGGTGATTGAACATTTTGATATATTTCAGAGGTGGAATAAAGACTCCCAATGCATCGCAGTATGAGCCACATCCCAGTTTTACAAAGCAAAAGCTGTAGTACTCAATCCAACAACAGAGAAACTCAGAATGTTTCATTGTGACCTTAATCTGTCTGAAACTCAACAGATAAATTGACACTTTGAAACGGATGTGTCCAATATTTGATTTTACACCCTGAAATGAATTAAAACTGCTCTGCAGTGCGAGTCATCTTTCCATGCCTCTGGAGTCACAGTTTCCTGGTCAAGGAGTAACAAGACTAACACACATTTTAAACACAGGCCCACGAGATGGTGTTTTTTGTATACGTGATTCTCAGTAAATCAGTAAAAAATCAGTAAATCGGTTGTATTTCATGTAAAAAGACTGCTGCCATTTTCAGGCTGAAAGAAAAGGAAGGTGGAAATTTGAATCAACCAATGTGCATGAAAATAAACTCACAAAAGAATTCCAAGTTTCGGTCTAGATACAGCTCAGTAGCATTGCTCAGTTTTCATTTAACGTCTTTGTTAGTTTTGTAGAAAAGGAAAATATCATTTGAGAACTTCTTGCTCACACCTTAAGGATCTCTTTTAGATTCCTAGCAGATGACAAGTGTTTAGGATCACCTGATTCCACCACCTTCCGTCTTTTCAGTAATTTCATCCACACAGGCGCAGTCTCTGTGTCTCTCTGTCCTTCATCGCTCAAGCCCCTGGCTGTGGAGAAACAAGTAAGGTTGCATTTCGTGAGCAGGGGCAGCACCTGAAGCAGGGCAGAGTCTTTCTCAGGGCTCAATGTGCTGCCTGCCCCACGTCCTCTCACTGGCTGAAGCCGAGAAGCAGGGAGCTCGGAAGGTGGTGTGGTGTGATCAGGTGTGCGCGGCGCACCACCAGCACAGAACGGAGCAGCAGCGCGGTGTCACTTGTGCTTTTGCGAGTGCGGACGCACAGGGCTGGCTGACACCACAGGAGTTGTTTTTGTAACATTGAGGAGTATATCCGAGCGTCACAGTGGGGCTGGGTTCCGTTAAAAAGCCACCATGAGGTTTTCTCAGAGCTGCGGAGCAGACGTGTTTTGGCGAGCACAAGAATATGGCAGCATATTTAAATTGTGTCCTCATCTGCCTCGAAGCCCCCCTCAGTTATATCAAATCTGTGTCACTAGTTGGGTCCTGCTCCTCTCAAACCTCTGGGGTTACGGTGGCATTTCAGGTTTTTTCTACACTATTGGTAACGCAGGTAGCTCATCATCAAGTCCATGACAAAGGAATCGGCAGCCAGGGTGAGGTGTCACAGCTCGTAGTCCCCGTCCTGCGCCTTGTACTGGTCCATGATCCTCAGCACGTCCTCCAGGATGGACGGCCCCAAGTCCAGGTCCAGCCCCAGCAGGGACTCGGAGTTGGGGACCCCGGGGGACTCGCTGCGCTCGCTCTGCAGGTCCTCGTTGCTCAGGCCCGCGTCCGAGTCGAGGCTGAGCCCCCGCCTGGCGTCCAGGGGCGGGCCGACCCCCAGCACCGAGTCCTCGGAGGACGCCTCGGAGAAGGAGCCAGAGGACGCCACCAGGCGGCCGAACGCCGGGATGGAGGCCGAGTGGCTGAGCTCGGGGTCGCTGTAGACGACGCGGGGCCCCTCGCAGCTCACGGACATGGAGCGCTGCGCCGGCGGGGTCTCCTCAAGGTGGAGGCGGGGGGGCTTGGGGGGCGCCTGCTCGGGGCTGAAGACGGGCAGGGAGACGGTGTTCTTGAGCAGGGTGGGCGCGGTGCCGGCCGGCTGCTGGCCCCTCTTGTCCGCCGGGGGGTTCTCGGCCCTCCCCCTCTCCGCGCTGCGGGACCGGGCCCGGCTCATCCCGGGGAGGAGGTCCAGCTTGCCCTGGATGAAGCCCACGTCCCCGAACATGTCCGTCTCGCCCTCGGGCCCCACGTGCGCGCTGTGGCGCAGGTCCCCCAGGGGCGGGCTGATCATATCCCCAGACAGGATGTCCCGCAGCTTGAGCTTCTTGCCCCGTTTCGGGGTGGACGTCTTCAGATACATTGGCGTCTTCGCCGGCATCCTGTTGCCCAGAGTGATCTGCTCCCAGATATGTCCCTGCTGCGCCGCACTGCTCCGCGCTGCCTGACTCCTGCAGGAGACCGGGGGGTTAATCTCTGCGCAGGAGAGGCCTGCGCATGAGCTGGCACCGTGTCTCTCTTCTTTAAACAGGAACAGATTAGACCAAGCGGGGATTATATATCTATATTTCCAGGCCAGATCTCCTTCGGGCCAACGGAAGAACAAAAGGGATGTTTGTTTTCCGGATGCAGTGCCGTTGTGGTCTTTATTTCTGTGTTTTTTCGCCCCCCCTGAGCCTCCCGCCACAGTCTGACCTGAGCGGCTTGAATGGCAGGCTGGTGAGAAAGGCCGGCTCCTTGCCGAGGGACACGCTAAATCCAGAAACCACCGAAAGCTTTTCTTCCCCCCAGCTTGATCTTGGGGAAGCTTCTACGCGACGGATCCTTTGTCGGGCAAACCTCTCCCATATGCTGAGGGTGCTTCCCCTCCCCAGTAAAGTTGCAGTTAGAAAAGCAAGTCCTTGGGGACTTGGAAAAACGTTAAAAACAATATTCTTCCGTCTGTCTCGTGCTGCACTCCTATACCTGGCAAGGGTGTGCAAAAATTCGGGATCTCTCGGAATGTGGTGCCGGGGTGCTATTCCCGCAGATCTGCAGGACAAACAGAAGAGAGAGATTTAGAGAAGAGACCAGCGTGAAAGGCACAATATAGGCGACACAAATAGCTTTGTACTTGCTTGATACTAAAATAACAGAGCAAAAACAGCTCCTTCAGATCTTCCTCACAGGCTTCTCAAATGGTGTCTTTTTTTGATTTTGTGTGCAAAGACGAATGTTTGGCTGACCTTGATGGCCTTTCTGGTTGGGCTCGTGAGTGGCTAAGCTATTGAAGGATATTTTAATATCAGGTAAAATACCTTCTTATAGCTACTCATTCAGTGCAAAGACGGCTAATCAAAAACTTTGCAGGTATAGACAATCACCAGCTATTTGACTGTATCTGGATTGTGTTCCTGTCATCTGCGTCATTGAAACCAGGGATGAGCAAGGGCACTTATCACACCATTGCTGCTGACCGCCTCAGGGGGAGAACTGCTTACCCATGAATTCTCGTCCCAATGTTTGAGACATTGGGTGTCTGTCCCTCTGTGGTACAGAGATTACTGAAAACTCTCATTTGCTTAAGACAACAAGCAGAGAAAGATCCTGGTCATAACCCCTATGAGAAACAAACTTCTTAAAAAAGTGTATGATGATGATGATGATGATGATGACGTTTTCCTTTAAAATTAAAGTGATTTGGCTCAGCTCCTCTTGATCTAACCAAGGCGTGACATCACCAAGCGATGATAACACCGATAAAGGGTGTGAGTGTGGGGAGAGGCAGGGGTCAGACTGCTGCACTCCTGCAGTGTCCAGAGCCCACAAGCCAGGAGATCGGCCAGATTACAAAGAAAAAGGAGGACATGGAGGGAGGAGGGCTGGTTGGGAGGGATTTACATGGCTGCAGCAGAAATTAAATCAGAGTTTTCCATTCCACTTTCTTCCTGGGGGATGGAACTCATGCAGGATTAGGGAGCCAGTGCACAGACACTTCCAAGACGATTCTCTAATCTTTTTAACTCCAGTGGAACATTTTCACCACATTCCGCAAACTCCAAATTCTGGTTCTTGACAAACTATGAATGCGGGGAATAAAATATTTTTTACACCACCTCTCAAGACACGAGACGCACGCCTTCACACGCCAAGTCAGGAGCTGGTTCTGCCCCGAGACGAATTGTGTTAAAAGGTAAATCTCCAGCCAGCATTGTGCTGCCTGCCACTGGTCCTGCTGGTCCCTCACAAACCTGCACTTGGTCCGCATGTACAAGTTGGAAAGCTATCTCCAGCAGTTCTCCAGGATCATTTCCCATAAATTCTGCTACTGGCAGAGGAGTGTCGGGTCTACTTCACTTCCTCCTCAGCACCTGTTCCGTTTTATTTATGCAGGACGCCGTTTTGATTCTTTATTACCACTGTGTTCCTGCCACTTACTTATTTTAACCAGGGAGGGCTTTACACTAATTATAGCCCTGTGCCATCGTGGTAATGTTGTTACAGTTTTAAGAGCTTGGGTGGTGCCTGCTTTTCCAGTCCATTAATGTCATCATTACTAGAAAAGCAGCTGTTCCATTGCCTGTTTTATTATTCGACTTAAGCAAATCCCACATGTGGCTGTGATCCGTGAAAGCTCCTCGGTCTTTACATCACAAGAGTGCAAACAGAATGAAAAGCCACAGAATGCTCAGATCTCTCAGTCGCTGTTTCTCAGTTTCGCTCTCTGTCAGTTATAGAGTGCCAGTTATAGAGGCTCACTCCTCTCTCTCTGTCAGTTATAGAG